CAATCGTCCATACGTAGGTACCGTAATAGAAACCAATGAGCTGTGCAGTCATTACAAATGTTACTCAATACTACGTAACATTACTTAATAACTACTTAGTCATTATTAGGTCACATCCTGGAATGCAATTTAAGTGATTTATTGATTTCTAATTCAAGGTTTGTTGCCTGTGTAGCGTATGATTTTCAGCTGACTTCATAAATAGGTATTACTACTGCGTCTACAACTTAACCGTTACCTCTGTATCAGGAGGAAAGGTAGTGTTCTCTCACTCGTCTTTTAAAGATAGCGATAGACTCAGTGTCCTTAATGTGAGGCGGGAGTTTGCTACTTGCCAACGTATAGTTGACAAGTTTTGACGTCATTACAAGTTCATAATTATATGTATAACAATTGCTACTCTTTTTTTAAGGGGTGAAAATCATCCAATGTCTTCTCCAGCCTTGAGTGAAGCGCACCCTGTACCTACTTCTGGAGGGACTCCAGAAGGTTAATGATAGGACGTCCGCAGTTTCGGGATAATACTACTTTTCTAAATTATTCTTTATTATCATACCTGCCTTATTAAATAACTAGGTAGTTAACAGCTTCATGTATAATTTTAATATTAACCGAAGTCTTAAGTATAATAGATTGAGACATAGCCCTCCTCCGAACTATTTGGAAAAAGGCCAGAAGAAAGTGTATATTAACAAATTGAGACTATTAGACATAATATGGAGTGTTTAATACTAGTATCAAATATCTACAACAATGTTTCATAATTACTATCATGAGACATACTGAATTATGCGATGTCGCGCAGCCTACTGATTGCCGCGACCGCGCACGCTGCTTATGAGGAAGCTACCCACTGTGGTTCGAAATTAGTAGAGCTTTTCTCAATATTTTCACGTGAGTAACCCTCGGTTCTTAGTTAATCTACAAACATAATTATCTTTCCTCAGTCTATTAACATCATAATTAGAAGCGCCACACTTTCATCTCTCTAATGAAGATCCTTTCATATAATGCGAAAGCACGAACATCAACAATATCTACCTTTGTACATATTGTAAATCATGCGACTTTAGACCTTAATGACCTTTCAGCCGGAGCATACTCCGTGGCCTGAGGTCAGAGAAGATCTTCCGTATTCCGACACTAGGTGCAACTGTATAATTTTGATATGAATCTCTTTTCCGCGTTGCTAGTAACGAGCGTCAAATTAAAATGTGATCAAGTGCGTGTCGGGGTCTATATAAAGGGTTATGTGATCAAATAATTGTGTTAATTGTGTAGTTTTGCGACGACTTTGATTGTTATGTGTTTGTTGTTAAAAGGCTATATTCAATGTTTATTATGTTAAGTTCAGTGCGTTTTGGACAGCTCATAGTTGTGGACGGTAGAAAATGATACTAACCTTTTTTCGATCCAAAGTATAAAGAATCCTTATATTATCCTGTCGCGTGTTTTTCATACACACGGGTGTACGAGAGAGTTGAGTGCCCATCGCGCAATTGTACGCACGGGTGTACGAGAAACGCGCACCGATTGGATATTTTTTCTGTGACGTATATTTTCAAGTTTACAACCCGTTCTTTATTTGAATGAACAGAATAGTTAATTCGCTTTTCTATTAAAATATTTACCGGTGTGTACGAGAGGCGCGCGAGAGGATATTTAAGTCGCTGAAAGTAAATGACAAAAAACAATCAATATTTAAATTAGTGGTAATCCCAAATTGTGGCAACATGGCAAACTTTATGACTTATTTGACATAGAAGTACGTTTATTAGCTAGAAAGTTACCTTGTACCAGTCAATTCTTTTCCTGCCTTATAATGAAATATACTGCGTCTATACATACTTACAATAGTGCTAAGCCTATGCAAAGTTTGAGTCATTAGTTAACCCAAATGCAATGCTAACATGATGCAGCTTAGTATATACAGGAGTGATATAACTAAAGGTGTGACTTTACTCATCTCTTATGCGTTAAACTGTTTTGTAAATCGTATTTGGTGACTGGACGGTGACATGTGACTGATACCTACTTATGGCAAGGGGTCTCGGGTTCGATTCCCGGGCCGGGAAAAGGATTACTGAGTTTTTAAAAAAAATCTCAGTAGTAGCAGGGAGTCTGGAATTGTGCCCGGTATATGGCAATAGGCTCACCTCCTATCACATAGGACTCATAACATTAATTGTGAAAAGTGTGTGTTACATTGTACAGCAGCATAATGTACACCTCTGCCTACCTCTTCGAGGATAAAAGGCGTGATGTTATGTAGTTAATAAGCTTACCTATCCTTTGAGGTCCTAAATATTTAAAATTAGAAATTCGGAAGCAAAAAAATATTAATATTTCAAATTTTTTTTTATACATATGTTTGATGGGCCGACCTTTGACCACTATCTCGCTTGGTGGTAAGCGATGGTGCGGTCTACGATGGAGCACGTCGTCTCGTAAGCAACCTATTCACTCGGGCCTTGAAGACACTCAGGTTATAACCCTTCAGGAAATATCGACTCTTGGCAAAGAATTCCACTCCTTAGATGCATGCAGGTATCACGTGTCGTTATACAATTCAAAAGAGGAGAAGGTTCTCAATTCGTTGGAATCTTTTTAAGCATGCTCTCTGAACTACTGGTAGGTAAAAGTTTTCTATTTGTCTTTATAATCACTTTGTACTTTGCTGTTTACAGTTTTACACACTGGGCCAAAGTACAAAAATCTTGACAAATATTACCTACTGAATGGAGGTTGTATTTAGGCAAGTGATAATAAAAATTACCCAACTTATGCCACAGGTGTGAAACTATGAATCAATACAGTTTATTATTAAATCAGAATCGATCGAGTTGATTGATTGGTTATGTAAGTTGCGGCCAATAACAAGCAGCTGCTACCGGTGCAAGTACTTAGTGTTGTAAGTACTTATCGCCTTGTAATGACAGGTTTATATAGTACCTAGTAGCAAATAGTATCAAAATTAAGTTGGTCCTAGGATTACCTCCAGGATAGGCCAAAATACCCAATTCAGTCCAGTCCATCATATTATAGGGCAATGCTAGGTCGAGAATCACCTAATTCATCTGGTCTACTAAGAGGACTTGGAGCCTCGTTCAGGTGCGGGTGGTACCCACCGGGGAGGTTTTAAGGAGGTAAATGTCCCACACTAGTCTTTTTTTCAAAAAGCAAGAAGATTTCCCACATCAATAAAAAAGGTCGAGGTTCACAAAAACTTTTTATATCGCAGACTTAATTCTGATACAGCTTTTGCAACAATAATGCTAGTTGCTTCCAGTCGTTTGAGGAGGCCTGTAGGGGAAGGGTACTGGACGTTTAGTGGCTGATGCTTAGGCGGTTTAATAGGTCAGTGGCTTCGTAAAATTATGAGGATGAATGATACTCATCCTACCAAAGAGCTCGCGTGTCTATGCTAAAAATAAAATCATAAAATTGTGTCTCAAGTTTAGTACTTAATAACTTGCTCATATAATAAGTAATGAGTTTTTTATGGAATAAGCCGGTCAACGAGCCGACGGATCACCTGACACCCGAAACACCAAAGGTTACTAGTGCATTCCCGGCCTTTTGGGGATTAGGATTTTGAGGATTGATGGGGATTCAGGGATTGGGAAGATTGGGGAGAAGGGAAATTGGGCCTCCAGTTACCTCACTCACACGACGAAACACAACACAAATATTGTTTCACGTAAATTTTCTGTCAGATGCTAAATACATTAACATTATAATTTATCCGAAATTACAATAAAACAGTCTCATTTGAACTTAGTACGTAATAATCTAAATAAGACGTACTAATTATAGTAAGAATATACTTAAGATAAACTTGGCAACAGTTCATGTAAATGAGATGACACATAAAACTAGGTGTCTAGTTCCATTTCAATATCTGCTTGAGATATTATGCGAATATACAGGAACTTATGTAACGGCCGGGAAATGAACATTACCGTGCATTACGTTGCTTAATGGATATATCTCATAATTTTATGCTACAGACTCTATCTTTGTACGATATTTTAGTTTATGAAGATGATTTTGTCTTTATTTTGTATTTTTACTGTTGTTGCTGAAGTAACTTGAAGTCTGTTTGTTGTTTTATTAAAGTTCGGTTTCTTACATAATTGAATTAAAAAATATTTGAGTATTTACAATAATTCAGAGGCGGGATTAAACCTAGATTTAATAGGCGCCTAGGTTCTTGTCTAGACAAACACCTCATAAGCGACTGTAGGTAACTTCTTTTGGCACCGTCCCCGCCACCGCTTTATGGCCTTCGCCCTTCTGTTGCCACCTGGCGCCGTAGACACTTGACTATTTTGCCTTATGTATAATATAGCTCTGCATTAATGCGTAACAATAATAAAAATGTGCATAGAAATTGCACCAGCACGACTACCGTCATCTATTGGCACTAAATTAAAGTATAGAACCGTAAAGAGAAAGTATCATTCTATGTTATTCGGCTACTTGATAACAGATGGCGCTGCTGTAACCTTAATCAAGTTACCTTTACTGTAATGTTTGTGCTATTCGCCACTAGATGTCGATGGTTAGGTTCTAAAAGGAAAGGAATTCTTTCTTGGACTGACGATATTTGAATGATTTTGATATCACGATTGATATTAATTCATGGCCGTGGACGGAATATCTGCATCTACTTTGTTTGTTATGACATTAGTTCTATCGTAGAAAGCTCGACATTTCGACTCAATATATAATCTATCTGAGATTAATATTCAATACCTTATGAGACCCAGGGGTCGAACCTAGATTCTCATTGGACACACTGAATCTTTCAGTTAATTTAAATATTTCGTGAGAATGGTATAACGTTAAGATTCATGTAAATAAAACTTCGAAAGTAAGGTATTTATTTCTTTATTTTATTGTATACTGCACCAACGACAGGTAATTACAAAACGCTTAACAAAGTCCGATAGCAAAATAATTACGTACACTACACGCCTTAATTTTATATTTACAGCCCTACACGAGAATAACATTATAATAAAATAATTACTTATCGACAAACATAATCATATTTGTTCATGACTGAGTATTTTCATTCACTATTAATTAACACTGTCATAATACCAGCCAGTCCTCTTTTATCATATCCGATGCCTTCTCAGCAATCATAATTACAGGAGCATTGGGGTTCCCACTTATAATCGTTGGCATTATACTAGCGTCGACCACTCTCAAGTTCGCTACACCATGTACACGCAACCGTGGGTCCACTACAGCATCTATATCATGTTTAGGACCCATCTTACACGTCCCCGTAGGATGGTATATTGTAAAAGTAAAGTGCTTCAAACAACACTCCCAGTATTCATCGCTGAACAGCTCATGGTGCTGACAGCCAGGCATAGCTATGTTGTGTGGCCTCGACCCATACCTCTGGAAAGCTGTCGTGTTCGACAAAGCCATCGCTATCTTTATACCTTCTATCAACACTTTGATATCTTCCTTGTACGCGAAGTAATTCGGCTCTATAGAGGGCGCTGTGAATGGATTACGGTTCTTCAGCTTAATCCAACCAGAACTCTTCGGTCTTAGCAATAATGGAAGTATAGTCCATGTCTCAGCGTCTTCTATGGGCTTGTAAACAGTATTGTATACTCTGTCACGCAAGTTCAATATCTTTCTGATCTGTTCTCCGCCGTCAGAGTTCACGGAACTAGGTGCGAAGTGGAACTGTATATCCGGCCAGTTGCCCGAAGGTGGCGCGTATTTTGTGTTCACAAATGCTAGTCCTTCTACTCCTTGGGTTGTCATAGGACCTTTCTCGTATAATATGTAGTTCATAGCAACGTTAAATGTTTGAAAACGGTCCTTTTTGAATGTTACTGGTTTATTGACTACGAAAGTCAAACCACCTAATCCAACGTGGTCCTGTAAATTATGGCCCACCTTTAGATTTGCGACTAAAGGAATACCATGCTCTCTTAGATGATCTGCTGGTCCAATTCCACTCAACATCATTATTTTAGGTGTCGCTAGAGCCCCGGCAGACATAATAACTTCTCGTTTAATTCTAACTTTATATCTCTGTCCATTTCGATAGAATTCGACACCGTACGCCTGTTTTTTAACAGGGTTTATAAGAATCCTCGTAACTTGAGCACCGAGAGCAATGTGCAGATTGTTTCTCTGCCTGACCGGTCGGAGGAAAGCCTTGGCCGTGCTGCAGCGGCTGCCGCGCCGCATGGTCGCCTGGGTCAACATGAAGCCTGTCTGTTTCGCTCCGTTGATGTCGCGGTTTTCGTAACCAAGTTCCATACCACCTTTCAAGAACGTAACCGATAATGGCGTCCGCCACGGTGCCTCTTGAACCGTGAGGTAGCCGCCAGCAGCGTGATAAGGCGTATTTACTAAGTACGGATTGCGGTTGTCTTCGGATTTGAGAAAATATGGTAACACTTGATCATACGACCAGCCGGGGTTACCAAGCGCTTCCCAGAGGTCGTAGTCGTTCCGGTTACCCCTTACGTACACCATCGCGTTAAGTACGCTGCAGCCGCCGAGTACCTTGCCTCTTGGCCAGTTGCAGCGATCACCATTCATGGCGAGACAATAAGAGCGGTTGTTGGAGGGCGTGGTCTGGAATTGCCAGTCCATCTCGGAGAGCTGTGTGTAGCCCGCTAGCGCGGGGATGTCAGAGATCTCAGTTTCGTCTTGGCCGGCCTCCAGGAGCAGCACTGTCCAGTTGCCGATCTCGGAGAGCCGCGACGCGACCACTGCGCCGGCAGAACCGCCGCCGACTATCACGAAGTCGTAGATCGGCATCACCTGAAACATTTAACGAAAACATAAGATCGTTGTGTTGTGAGAGTTGTGAGATTGATTATATGGATTGTTTATCGAGATATGACCCTGAACGTAAATTAAGCAGATTACTGCTGATGTATTACGGACAAGTAAGAATTTACGGTGATGATTAGCGATATACTCACAGTATTGACATCCGTAATATAAGACTCCGGGTCGAATTGTTGGTATCTGAAGTACGTGATCCCGAGTGCCAGGAGTGGTATCAGACCCAATACGGTGATGGGCGACGGTGCCAAGCTGGCCAGCGCTCCTGCCGCCTCCATGGCTGCCCTTACAACTCATCTACCGCTAAACTAATATTTACAACTTAGCCTACTAGTCTTAGCTCTCTTAAATCCAATGCTGGCTTTTCTTTCTTTGCTCGTCTTCTGAAAGAATCTTAGGCGTGTAATTTCTAATGCCTGGCTTCTTCGTGGTAGTCGCTTTAGCCTTCTCTGTTTCACTCAGGTAGCTTTTGAGTCGTGCACTCTTCAGTTCGTCTTTGTCAGTGTCGAAGAGTTGCAGCGTGTTGTATCGCTTCTCTTTGTGGAGTTTGACGGGTTTGTAGAGTTCTTTGTTGACGTCTTTGTAGTGTTCGTTTTTGTACAAGGACGTGCAGTAGTAGTCACTTTTAGAGGATCTGTCGGAGCGGTATTCGCAGGCGCTGGAGCCGCTCCTGTAGCCGCTGCTCTCTGTTGACGAGTTGTCGCTCTTGAAGCTGTCGGCGCTTCTCCTAGCTTTGTGTCGCTTGTAGTCCTTATCGTAGTCGTTGGCGCGGTAGTCGACGGGCGAGCTCCGGTAGTGCAAGGGCTCGTCGTACTTGTCCTTGTACCGTCTCACTTGCGTGCCGCTAGCGTGCGCGTACGACTGTTCCTGGCCCATGATGTAACGCGCGCTCGCGCTCTCGCGTGATTTCTGTAACAGAAATAATTTACTTTGAATACATAATTGTAACGTTTATATTTCCTTAAGTAGTAAAATCTATAACCATGCTTTCAGTAAAAATAACCATTATTTTTTCTAATGATTATGTTTTTGTTACAGGTAAAGATGAAGAAAATTATTACATTTTGCGGTCGTCCATGTATGTATTACAAGTTAGCATCTACCAAACAAACACTACACGTATGGTTATGGTGTATGTATCTTTATAAACATTTTATTATTTTTTTCTTTCACTTCCTACCGTTGCACATAAAAATAACAACAAATCATCGATAAAAACAACGGTAGATTTAGATCATTAGCGTGTTAATGTAGTTACAAATATTATTGATTAAAGTACAGTGTGTCAGTGGAACGAGCCCTCGTTCGGATGGGACCGGCCGAATTGATGGCGAGAGAAATTCGAACAGGTTTTATAAACGACTTATGTTTTGAACAAGTGACGTGTTTCTTCAAACAGTAATACTCGTGTTTGTTTGAACTTTGATATATTTGTTTGGGTTTAGAAAGGGAATAGGTTCTTTTATGGGTTGGGAATTTCGTGTTTTGTCACTTTTGATTTCGTTGCCTTGACCTTATAGTAGTATTTTAGCCGAAGTCGGTTTCTTAATCAAGTATGTTATTGATAGTTTTCATATCAATCGAAGTTCTAATTTTACTTTACCCAATTACCTAATCGAATTCTCGGGTCGGGCAAAGTACTACTGGGTTTTAAAAAAAATCTCAGTAGTAGCACGGAGTCTGGAATTGCGCCCGGTATATGGCAATAGGTTCACCCCCTATTACATAGGACTCATAACATAAATAGTGAAAAGTGGGTGTTACATTGTACAGTGGCATAATGTGCACCTCTGCCTACAGGCCTAATATAATATAGGCCTAATAAAAGGCGTGATGTTATATATGTATGTATTTCCTAATCGAGAGAAGTTATTTCAGGTTATTTATATAAATAAAATACATAACAAAATTGCCTACTACCTACTTTATATAACAGTCAACCATTCTTGTTGGTTTACAGGTAAATAGTTAACTTTCTTTGGTTAAAAAACTACAGTTTTGTGGTCTCTAGATACTGCGGTGTTAAGTACGATGCCATTAGCTCTTACTTTCACTTGCATTTTTAAACTTTATTCCGTAAATATCTTTGAGAAAAACTCTTGGTACATTATTCTGAAGATTACTATTTGATTTGATTGTAATACTGGTTTTAGGTATAACGTAATATAACTCAAATTGGCGATGTTTAGTCACATAGCATACGATTGTAAATCATTTTGGCGATATTGGTCTTTCGGTTTTCATTTCAGTTTTAATATTATTCTGAGCATTATTTGAATTCAAAGTTCGTTTGTCACGGAGTGTTGTAAGCTATATATATTGGATTAACTGTGTGGATACCGAAGATTATTAAAATTGGCTGTAACACAGACACCCTGAATGTTTAGAATAGGATTTGTTGTACAATCATGTCAATCATCTCTTGACTGACCTGACGCGACAAAAAAACGCGAAAAATCCTTCAAATAATTTCGCTTTTGCTCATAGCTGTTCATGAAATTGCAAGTGACTAGTGAGTTAGTAAATGTTTGTGCCTAATATGTTACCCGGTTACATTCCTAGTGACCCAACAGGTGCTAATTTGATTCACGTTTGTAGTAACATCGTGGGCACTGTCACTTTCGTACTGAAGTTTCGAAAATTGTTTAATGTCATGGCACTGTATTGTCCTAGAGATGGGACTACTTTGCTTTATTTAAGTTGGTGTTAATAAAGTTCAGTTTTGCACAAATCGTATTGAAACCTGACTTGATCAGGGTCTCTTTTAAATATCTACTTTTCGGTACTTATGTTTTTCATTTGTGATAAATATCAGATGCGTCACCAGTCAGTTGTCAGCCATGAAAAAAATACGTTACGTTTTTTTTTATTTATAACCACTTTTTGTAATTTAGGAGGTTTTAACCCGTCGAGCGTCCGCGTGCCTTATGCATTTCCTTACCCTTATGTATGCAAGAAAATGCATTTACTTGGCCATTGGCACACGAAAACAAGGATCATTACTCATTACAATAGAAATAAAATAAATACAGTCAAAATAAAACATTAATAATAGATTTTATAAAAGCGAAAGCAGCATGGAGCATTTTTTCTTATGATCCACCGGGTGCTCATAAGGACGCTCGAGGGGTTAATAATGTAAATAGATGTAGATGAAGAAGAACATATACAAATAATAATAGACAATAAGCAGACAAACTGCACTCATTAAGAACAAAACTGAAAAGCAAGGACAAAACAGGACCAGCAATAGTCTAAAGTGTTCGTATGTCTCAAATACTCTGAGACGCATTTTCCAACGAGGTTAACCATCCATACAATAATACAATGCACACGAAAATAGCTCTAAACAACATAAACTCTTTCAACAAGCTTCAGCTAACCTTGAAGATGAAACTTAACATGCTGAACACGGCACAAAGCGAGCATGAAATGCGATCACCAGTGACAATTCGTCATGGCCACTAAACTGCTAAACAGCTGTACTAAAGTTAAGACTGTATTTGTTTGTATTGTTTAGCTAATATGGATGTTGTATTCGGAGTCGCGGAGAACCTAACGGGTAACCGGGGCTCCGGCTCGACGTGCAGGAGAAGGAACGGGGTGGTTTTTAGTCAGTAAGAGTCTGACACTCCCTCCCGCCTCACCCAGGCGGGAGCAGTCATTCGATGATTTTCCCCCCTTAAAAAAAATAAGGATGTTGTTCTAAAGGTAGGTATAGTTACTAGATATGATGAATGTTACAGTTCAAGGTTCGCTTTGCCGGAAAGGTCTACCTTGTTGAGAGAAATGCCGTAAGGGATCTTCGGTCAGAATTCGAAACATAGTATTTTTGAGTTCTTAAGTTTCCGAGATCTTCATTAAATAGTTCGATTGTTAACTGAGTCTAGAATTGTGTGCGATTAAAATTACTACCTGTAAATGGGATTTTATGTGCTCTGTACCTCAACTTAACCCTATACAAAGCCCCAAAGATGTGATTTTTACGGTTATTGCCAAGCAAATGTTGTTTCAAAACATAATATATCTCTGGCCAGACGAATTTAAACCTTTTAAGCATCAATATAAAATCCACAATATTATGACTTTACTGTTTTACCAAAAAGTATAGGCTAAAACAACGTACAACGCGATTAACATTCTTATGAGAAAGAATTAAGATCGTTTTTTCAGTGCAAAAATGCCTTGCATTTCTTCCCTACATAAGGTCTGTTTTAAAGGTGCAAATTGCATGTTTCTTTATTGTTGGTAATTGTTCGCCAAAGTCCTTAAAACCAATATTTTTTATTTGTCAAAGTCAAAGTAATACGTCAAGAGTATTTTGTAAAGTAAGTTCAAAAGAGTTGTTGACCGATTATGCTCCAGTAAAGAGTTAAAAGGGTTGTTCAAATATGATTTTTATTTCAAGTATAGTAAGGATCAATATGGCAAGTTAAATTTTCGGATTTGGTTTTCTTGGTCTCCTCTGTTATGATGACTCTTGATCATAATCTTATAGGGTAGAGCTGCAGTTGCTTTATTATTATTTTTTTGTGACGAAAATCATCTAATGACTTTTCGCGTCTTGCGTGAGGCGAAAGAGAGTGTCTGACTCTTACTGACTATATAACAACTCCGTTCCTACTTTTGCTCTTAGAGCCAAAGCCCCGGCAACCCCGTAAATCATCCGCGACTCGACAAACAATTGTAATGGTTCAAAAAGTCCTTGTGTTATTTCAAATTGATAGTCTAGATAAATAAATTACATAATAAAACACTCTTTATTTGCTGAAGTAGTCGACAATAATGCCGATGAAACACAGTCACAACGTACCTAATGACGAAAACTGAGTCCACTAGGAATACCCCTCTGTGTGTCCTTACTACGTATTATACGCATGATGATACCTTACTACTTAATGTATCTTACTGTATCCTTACTACTATGTACTTGTATCCTTACTACTTATTATTAAGTAGTAAGGATACAAGGTATCATCATACAAGGTAGGCGTAATATTATACATGTAGCGAATATCTAGTATGTCATCTAAGAACCCGTTATTTCACAACAATGTAATTTCATTGTTCGCTGTTTTGTACGAAGCATTCTTAATTTCTAGAGCAAAACAAAATAATGATTAATACTGTGGTTGTCAGTTCACAGGAATCGAATACAATTCAGTTTGTTTACATTAACGGTAGCAGTCCGATAATATGAGAAAAATAAAAGAAGTTCTCGCCATATAATTATGAATGCCTTAGTCAAACCGACAAAAACGAATGTAAAAATTCCTTTCCTAAAGTCAAGTAAAATTGTCAATGGTGATAAAAGAGTGAGGTGTTAAAACTAAGACTGCCTCGTTGGCCGAGTGGTCGCTAGTGCGAATGCCAGGCAAGGGGTCTCGGGTTCGATTGCCGCGTCGGGCAAAGTATTACTGGGTTTTTAAAAAAATCTCAGTAGTAGCACGGAGTCTGGAATTGTGTCCGTTATATGGCAATAGGCTTACCCCTTATTACATGGGACTCATAACATAAATAGTGAAAAGTTGTTGTTACATTGTACAGTGGCATAATGTCCACCTCTGCTTACCCCTTCGGGGATAAAAGGCGTTATGTGTTAAAACTAGTCTATTTCTGTGCACCATAAACACATTTTAGTTTATGTTTTGTGTTTTAATTTCCTCCGTACTCGTCTGTTAGCGAATGTTCCGTTAGCTCCGCACGCGCATTTGTACAAGTTTCCGCACCGCCACCTTGATATTAATTACGTACAACTAACTGTAGCATCTGCTTACCACGTTCTTTTAATGAATGGTTACATTGCTCGTTGGTCTTTTTGCAATGACTGTATTAAGATTAAGTTAGACTTTTATGGACTTTTTGGTACATAACCTAAGGTGGAAAATACTTAATCTGTCAAACACCAA